TTATGAACCTCAGCTTCCCTAACACAAAGACGACAAGTTTTAAATGGAGAAAAGGCCTAAACATTTTAATTTCTGCTAGCCCTCATGCAGCCTACAGCCATTCAGCTCAGCAAGATGAGGCAAGACAGGCTGAGCAGTTTTAATCTCAAAGACATCTGAGGACAGGTGAATGCTGGACATCAAATGGGAGGTCTGTCTTTGTCATCAGATGGAGGAGAGCTTTGGTAGGTCCCATCTAGACCTCCCAAGCCCCAGGTTTGGTGCACGTGTCTACAATAACCAGTAGTGTTGGGAAACCTCATTTCCCCCCTCCGTTTATTGCAAATGCCAGAAAAATCTCAATTTAGAAAAAATCCTCACGCAGAGCTTGTCCAGATGGGCTTTGCGGAGAAGGCCATGGAGTGCAGGCAAGCTCCTGCAAAGCCAATGCTAAAGGGGTTCAAGGTCCACTCTGTCCTCTAGCTGTAATAGGGCATCACTAGATGGGAAGATAGCTTGAAAATAAGGAGACAGCAGCCTGCCGAGGGAATAAGGTCAATTAATAAAACAATTCATGATGAAACATTGCTTTATAGAATCAATTATGAGTTTTCTGTCCCTTTTCTGACACATATCATTCTCACCAGGCCTGAAACAGGCTACCAACTGCATGAATAAATATCTGATTCAGCGCGGCCTCTCTGGATTGCTATAGATTCCACAATCCCCCAAATAGGGAATTTCCTTAGGAAAGGATCAGATTAGTAAAATAATAAAAAGAATCTTCTTTTTTGTTTTAACAGCTTATAGAAGAAGGGCTCGTCTTTTTTTCACGGCATTTTATCAGCTTCTGAAGAGAAACACCTCACCCTTCTGATGTGATTTCCTTCAGGAATTGCATTACCATAGGTTCTGTTGCTTTGACATTGGGAAAGCAGCAGTACTTTTCCACTTAGCTTAATCTTAACTCCTATTTTTTTCTGCGGCAGCAGTGCACAGGACAACTTGGGAAATGTCAGGAGGCAAAAAAATAACCCAACAATAAGTGCGTTTGAATCCTATCTCCGCCTCGATTCCCAGCATTAAGCCTGGTGACTTCTGCTTCTCCTGCCCCATGGGCTGCTGGCTTCGTATTCATAAACTGGAACGGAAAGAACGGATGGCAGCTTCGTGCTGGGAGGAGATCCCGACTGTTGTCACGCAGGGAATCCAAAATAAAAACAACCCCCAAACACCTTTCACCCAGATTTATATAACGGTAAATAGGAATAACAAGGTTATCCAGAGAAATGGGTTGTACACGGCCAAATCCTCATGTCTCTGCACATTTCTACTCAGATCTTATTTGGGCAGATTTGCAAGGGCCTCTGAAACTCTTTAAAGAAAAACAGAAGTCAGTTTACTGCAAAAAGTGGGAGTTTGGGACCTCATTCTTTGACCATGGGCCAACTGCAGCAGAATGTGGCCGATGTCGGTGACAAGCTTCATAAGAGGAGGTAATATATTTTATTAAACCAACTGCTATATGCCAACTAAATTACACTTGCTTTCTACCAGTAAAATTGCTCCTACAGTCTTAAATGGCAACTCTGGCCTTCAGTCTGCTCCCATTTACACTGACGTAAGCCAAAGGTAATTTCATTATAAATAATATAACTGCATTACAGACGAGGCAATTACACCTGTAAGATACCGGCACGAGAGCAGAACCCTTCTCTGTGACATTTCTACTCATGTTGGAAATGAAATAACAATGCAAAATGTGATTTTTTTTTTAAATGTTAATCTTGTGGATAAAAGGCACATGCACAGTTTGGTAAATCTGTTAAAATTCACAAATAGCTATTTGCTATTATTGCTGGCCAGGAGAATCCTCTGCTGAACCCCTCTAATTTTTACAGACACTTTAAGTCACTAATTAATTCATTATGAAGGAAATTGGGGGGTCACTTTGTACTTTGGTTGATTTGAGTAGTAATGGAGCCAGTCAATGTAGCAGATACACCCCATGGTACTAAAATATTATGGAAATAGGGAAGAAAATGTACATTTCTGTCCCCAACTCATTGGATCTCAGGTTGAGATCATTTCTGGCAAACTGCATAAAGAGAAAATGCTGCTTCTTGTAGCCTTTTGTCGTTGTCGTATCATATATTATTCATGCAGAAAGACTCTGCTGTTCGTGTGCTGCATCAGCCTCCCACTGCTTTGATTTTTCACATTTCACTTAAAGAAAACATAAATTCACACCTATAGTTCTGCTTCCTTTGGGAGCGAAGGGAAATAGCTTGTAAGTGGAAAAAGGCAGTGGTTTAGCCATTAGATGCAGGCATTTTCGGTCAGGAAGGTTACAGGTCTGGGGGAGATTTGCAGTTGTTTGTCCTGATGAAGTTCCTCCTAAGTGAGGTGATTATTGTAGCTGTCAGGGATGAAAAGGTAGGACACATTGATCCCATGCCCACCGCAACCTCTTGAACGTGCTCACGCGGAGCAGTCAATAGGAATGGCCAATTAACAAAAAAGCAATATTGGCAAGTCAGCACTCCGAACGGGAAAAATCCTCCCTCCGGCCACTGCATAAAACTCCTGCCATTTAAATCATCATTCTCAAGCAAAGGCATTAGCAAACCTGCCCAGAAAGTCAACGAAGATGAGCTATTTTGGAGTAGGTCAACGGCAAATTGTAGAGCTCGGAGCCTCTCTGCATGGGGAAATGCAGCAGAATGGCTATGCAGGGGCACGCTTCATGTGGACACCCTATCTTGAGGTAAAAATCACTTTACGCTGGAAAATTATTCTACTCTAAAAGCACACCAGTTATTCAGAAACAGAAAGTCTTTTATTTCCGAATAAAAGAGTCCACGCTTGAACTTTTTCTGCCATTCTGCTAATGATAATAGATACAGACTGATAAAATATACATTTTTCTTTCTGCAATAGCTATTGTGGAATTCTCCTCCTTGTAAATAAGCCCTAGGAGTATGATGCTTGCAATTGCCTTATATTTCAAGTGTAGCAATGAGTTTAAATATACTGTTAACTTCCCTGAAGATTTCAGCAATTTCCCTGCAATTAAAATCATTCAAGTGGAGCTTTGGGCTGAGGAAGCAGTTCCGAAACAGCAGCACATAGTAGTGGCTGTGACATGACTGAGCAAACTTGGTTTAGGCAACACCTAGCAGCTATTAGTGTCTGAATATCTTACACCTGGTGAGGAATTCCTGCCTTTAAAATGACAAACTTTGGTCCTGCAGGGTTTTTTCCGGCACAAGCTCTCAAACACTTTGCAGGGAAGGTATCATTACCCTTCATTTACAAATGGGAAAGAAGGGAGGTGAGAGCTGTAACAAAAACTTGCTTGGTGTCTCCCAGCGAACTAGTGAAAAACACCCATAAAAGAAGGATGATTCCTGTAGCAAGACTTGGGGAATACAGCAAGACAAACTTGCCTGCAGGCAAGTACATTGACTGAACTTAGGAAATACATTTAGAAGATCTTTTGCTTCCCAGAAAGTTTGTGAACTGACGGTCGGATTTGTCACATCATTTGTCATATTTATCATGTCACCCCTCTTCAAAGAGGGGGATATGCTACTCAGAGAAGGTCCTGGTTTTCTTTCAGAACCAGCTTTCCATGGGCATGAATAGGAAGGAATTCAAACACCACTTGCAACGTTTCAGCCCACCTCCTGCCACAGCTTTCCTGGGGCAACGAGGGGAAATCAATCTTTAAAAAACACTCTCACTTAGGGAAATTAAGCTAAGTTAGGGTTTAATAAGTACTTGCAGGCCTAATTGCTAATCAGAAGCTTTTCAAGACTCCAGTGCAGTTAGCATTGAGCTAGTATGAACCAGCTAATATTCTATTTGTATAGTACTCTTATACTGTAAGTTTTTATAGGTGATAAATGATTTTTTTTTTGGTTCATTTAATAGTCTGCATACAATTGTAACTGCCACATTAAATTTGGAGAAGGGCAAGAACATGGTTAGCTGAGCCCATCTCATATCTGCCCTGTTTCTGTTGGGCTGATGTTGGCCCTTCCAGGTCTTTCTCGGGGACACCAGAGGAGGAAGCCTGTCCCCGTACTCCAACTACAACCGTGTAGAACTTGGTTGGTCCTTCTGATAATTTATTGATCCATTAAAGAATTTAAACTGCCCTTGAGTGGGCAATTATGTCATCAGAGACAGGTCTTTCTGCATGTTTTATGAAATGAAGTTGCTGGGTTGATGAGAAACATTTGGTGAGTGATTAAACTGGGAGAGACGCAACCCAACGAGCTCGAGACATGTTAGATACTGGAGAATCCACACAGGGGGGTAGAGCTACAGTGGAGAAGAAACAGGGGGAAATTGGAGCTTGAGGGGCCTATGGTGGAGGCTGAACGTCTTGGCACGTGATGACTGCACGTTGCTGCTGTCATGGGGAGATGTTATGGTGTCTATCCACTGAAATAGGGATATATATATACACACATAAAGATTTTTTCTCCACATTCTGCTAAAAATGTTTTTTTTTTCCTCTAAAAATCGCCCAATTTTGCCATGTTTTGTGGGGGCCTCGCAGCAGCACTGGCTTGCACCAAGCACAGGACACCCAGGCCTTGTCTTTGGGGAGGCAGGTGAAGCGAGGGCTCCATTTTGGGGGCGTTTTGTTTTAATTCCAGGTGCTCACTGGAGTGCGAGCTCTGGAGAGGTGAGCAGGGTTGGCATGGCACGAAAGCACGAGGTTATAGAGGTTAAAAAAAAAAAAAAAAAAAATCCCGGGTGATAAATTGAGGGAAAAGGAGACGTCTCCATGGCGACCGCCCCGCCGCCTCGGGGACTACAACTCCCACAAGGCCCCGCGGCGCCCCCGCGCACCGCACAGCAGCATGCTAACTCCTCATGCCGCCCCTGCGCCGCCCTTCTATTGGATGGCGGCGGCGGCGCGGAGCGGTTCTCCCTCCTGATTGGTCGCACTGCAGCCAGCAGGGGTGTTCTCCCCGCTGGCGGTCGGGAGTGGGGGGGTTTGCAAGATGGCGGCGGGCGAGGCGGCTGGGCGCTACCGGAGCTCCATGGGCAGGAGCAAGGACCCCTCGGGGCTGCTCATCTCTGTGATCAGGTAGGGGCGGCCCCGCTGCGCAGCCTCCCCGCCCGCCTCCGCCGCGGGACGGGACCGCAGCGCCTGGGCCTTCCCCGGGCCCTTCCCCGAGGTGGCCCCGGGGGCGCAGGAGCGAGGCCTGCCCGTGGCTGCGGGGTCACCCCGGGCACCGGCCTCTGCTCCAGCTCTGCCCACGCACCAGCCGCACTGCAAAGCGCCCCGGAGCCCCTCTGTGCAGCTGTTTCACCTTTGGAGAGTGTGATGGGGGGAAAAGCGCCGCCTCAAAGGTGCCTTATGGCCTTGTAGGGGATTGAAAGGTCGAGAAAGTTGTGTCTGGTCATGTCAGAGCTGCTGACATTCATTTAGGCTTGTCCTCACCCTCCTTTAGAGGGTAATACTGTGATGGGCATTGGACCCTGGCAATGGTCCTGGCAATGGACCTCTTTCCTGGTTTTCTAAGTCTCCTCTCTGCTGCTCAGACTAGACTTAGACTTAGACTAGACTTAGCCTTAGTCTAAAACTCCTTCTAAGTCTCCTCTCTGCTGCTCATAACCAGTGAGAGGGCTGCTTTCCCACACCAGGGCTTTGAATTGCAGCCCCTGGGCTCCCTCTGCTCGCTTGCTGCCCAAGGCCATATTGCCACCATACCTTAAAAGCATCCATTGCAGCTTCCATGTCTTTCCTAGGATCTGTAGTCCCTGTGCTCCTCCAGGGACATATGAAATAATTGTACATCTAGCATGTGTTACAAGCAGATATCAAAGTTATTTGTAATTGATAATATTTAGTTTAAAACCCAGTTCATTGTTGTTTTGGAGAGTCCTTCTGGTCTTGAAAAGCTTGAAGTAGGGAGCAACTCTGAGAAAAGCTGCTGTTTCACAGGCAGACTTGGTGTTGACTTTGTGTTTCCCTGCTTCCAACTTGAATAAGTTGGTCACAAGAGGTAGCAAAGAATCACACCGAGAAAAGAGAAGCCAGGTGATGCACAGGTTGTGACTTTGTCTTTTCCATTTCAAGTATGCGTAGCTCATTAGTTTTATAACAAAAATGGTAATAACACCAAAACTAAACAAGTTTGGCCTTATCTTGTTCAGGCAAACTCTTTTGCAGGTGAAGGGACAGGTATGAAGTTGGTATGACCAATATAAGTATTTATATTTTTAAATAGCAAATGATGAAAGAAAGAGATGGGAAATTAATGGACTGTGCCCAAATGTGTGACTGCTAAAATGGACCATTGTCTTCTAAAACCCTGTGCCTGGGCCTGCCTGTGCTGGGGTGTAACTGTTCATGAATTTGCAGGGATATGATTTCACATGGCAATATGATTTCACATAACGATTACAATTTTTAAACAAGTAATTTAGTTTTATAAGCAGGATCCTTTGCTTTTCCTGAACAGTTTATTTTGGGGCAAATATTAAATGGTGCAGGTTTAAAATGTGTTGTGCTTAGTATTACTTTATCATCCGCGAGTCGGCATAATTTGGAGAGCTGTTGCTGGGTGATGTTAATTTATAAAACCTGCACTAAGTTAGTGACAAGGTGAGCAATGCATAGGCATTGTTGCAGCGTGGAACTTTCCTGGAGTGTAAAGGGTGACTGTAGAAATTCATAGGAATGAAAAAGTAGAAAGAAACAATGCTTAAATTAAGTTTTGGGAAAAACTGAAAGGATCACTGGCGTGTTTTTCTTAACTTGCTGTAATTTTTGAGTGGTACTAATGATGCCGTTGGTATCAGCGAGGTCAGTTTTTGATATCAATAAGTAAGGATAATGAAAGCAGGTGCCAGTTTTACTTTCTTCTTTTAGCAATTTCTCTTTTGTTTCTGAAACCCTCAGGCTTGTGATTTCCATATTTCAGAGACTGGCTTATTTATTTTTGCATATTTTTCTGTAATTTTTAGCAGAACTTGTAGCATTATAGGGGCATTTTTGTGACTCTAGATCTCTAGTTTAACAAATCTAAACTTATAATTACATTTATAATATAAAATGGGAGTGAATTAATATTATAGTGTTCTCCAAATATAATACTGTGTTTGTCTAATTATCTTTGGCTTACAGGCACTGATACCTCGGGTGATTTAAGTTCCAAAATTTTGATATATTGTTGAACTTATCAACTTCATGAAATGAAAATTATTCAATAGAACAGCTTGATAACTAAAAACACAGAATGTAATTACAGCTTGGCTTGGATCTGACTTTTTTTTCTGTGGTGTTTGAAGTGTAGTGTTGAGCTAGACTGTGAAAATTTGGAAGTATTAACTTATTTCAAAAGGAGGAAGAACTATGTTTTTTAGTGCATTTCTTTGAGTTAGTTCACTACGAAAAGCTTGCAGTATGGAAAGGAAATTTAATCTTTCTTCTGTATGTTGTTTCTATATTAACCAACAGGTTGATTTTTATTTTGCTGTTTTGTATGCTTGTAAAAATACCAGTGTAGGCTATAATGGAAGCAACCCTAAACTTAGATCTGTGTGTGCAAAATTTATCTTACTGGTAACTTTACTTGAATGCTAACTTTAGAATGGTATCGTCAGTCTTATCTCTTTGCTATCAGCTTGAAATTCAGCAAGATTTCATCTTGTTTTTTGACAACTTTCCTTGCATAGCATTTGTGCATCAATTCTCCTGCCAATTCTGCCAATTATTATGTTTTTATAAACATAATTGCATTTATACTTGCATTATACTTGCGTTTTCCTGTTTATTTAAAAGACTATTTATTTGCCTTTTGTTGCTGTGTGAAAGATGCATGAAAAGGAACAATGTGTGAGACTAGTTCGATTCCATAACTGCTGTAAACAGACAAAATCAAAGGGATTTCTTCAAGTATTACAATATTTTTACTCAGTTATAGCAAAGATGGGATATTTTCAAAAACAAACACTGTTTAGGTCAACAATATCCAGGCAGCATATTTGTCTGTAAACTGCTTTAAAAAGTGATGACAGACTGCATTTTAGATATAGTTTTATTAATAACAAAGGGATAAATTTTGATATTTACTCTTGCTAACTAGTTTTCTTTTTCCATAGGACTAAATAATTTCCTTGCATATTAGATTTAGGGAATTGCAGCTCTCCTAACCTTTCTAGGACTTTCGAGGAACAGTTTCACAGGTAATTATTACAGCAATAATTTTATTTGGGGATAGATCCTTGCAAATCAGTGGAGGAATGATATTTTTGTACAAGTTGAGGCTCTGGCCTAAAATAGGAATGCCTTTTCCACTAGGAAAGCCTGTGGCACATGTGTCAGTACAGTTGTGTGTCCGACACTGCAGTATCGGATGTCACACCAGCTGGCCACACTGTTTCAGAAAGGAGCTTTAGAGAGTTTCTGAGCTCACCAAACCCACCATAATACTCCAAAACTTTTCTCATACAGCTTGGAAATCCTGCGTCATCCTTGATCTCTGAAGTATTTACAATCTTTCAGCAGCTTGGGATGCAGATAACTCTGAAATGAAGGAAGACCCAACAGGAAAGGCGGTGCCCCTTTTGATCCCTGTGAATTACCAGCTTATCCTGTTGTGTTGGGGATATATCTATTCTTTGAAATGTGTTTCCTGTGGGAGAACCTCCTTTTTGTACTGATTGCACTTATTTCTTTACATTCCCGCTTTCCAAACTTGTACTAATTCCTCCAAGTACTTCAAGGTTCCTTGAAGGTTCCCTAAATACAAGATGGTTTGTCAGGTGGTGATGCTACCAGGAGCCTTTGTTGTAGAAGTCCAATACCGTGTGGGCCTCGATACCATCTTTTCAAAAGTAGTGCAGACCCTGGAGAAAATTCTGGTTGTCTGCTGGAGGACAACTCGGTGAATATTTTTATCTTTCCGAGAACAGCACGTGTATGTATATTGATTTTTCTCAACCTTTTGTTTTGCTGGTAGCCCATTGAAGCAGCTTTTGTGCTCTGAAACAAGCGATCTGGCATTTAGCAAATGCTGGGTTTTTTTTTGAGAGATCTTGTCACATTTTTAATTGGTGGATGTGTCTGCCTTTTATTTATCGTTAGGCATTTTTCTTTCCAATTAAAGGCTGCTATAATTGGGAGAAATAGCTGCTTTAATTGGGAGAAAACAAACTTTAGCAGTGACTCCGTAAGACCTTATTGAAATCTTTGTGCCAAGCTTTCACAGAGGCAAACACACACAAGACAGATGTCAAGGAGAACTAAAAGTGAGGCAAGATATACAGTGCATTACCCACTTTCATGTCTGCAGAAGTTCAAATTACAGGCAAAAACCTGAACATATTTTATTTCGTTTTCACATGTGGAATTTTTCTTTTTCCTTGTAATGGTTTTTGACTGTTATTTTCATTACATTTACGGTGAACTTTGTTAAATGGATTCTTACTAATGACCTAGCATTTGATCTTCTCTTTCTGTCTAAAGCAATAGAGCTGATGTCCCACTTTGTAATGTATAACGAGCAAGACAGATATATAGCTGTTGCCCTCACTGTTACGTTTGGGAAATAGCTGCTGCAAGAAATAAAGTCGAGTTATTCTGATCCGTATGCACTGTAATGGTCTCTTAAAACCACTTTTATTGCTAATGGTGTTTTGCAATGCTCTAAAAGTAGCAGTTCTTCTCCAAGACAAGTAGCTTGGAAATTCACCGAGAACGAGGTTTATATGGAATACTGTGGTTTTAAGCTATTACTTTTCCTGAAATGATGTCGGGCCACTTGTGTAGAGTGTATGCATATTTGTTAAGTGTCGCGTTGTAGTTCAGATACAGGCACTTGTTTATTGTTAAATAGCAACAATATGTGAAGGATTAGAACGAGACTGTCTTGTTAAAACTCTGGGTACTTTATTTTTCACCTTTCATTTTAGCTCTGTAGAATGGAGTGTACAGAGATGGAGTGTAGCCGCCTCTTGTAAAACAAGGAAGCAAAAATAGTCATTTTTATTAATAAGCAGTTGCATGTTCTGCAGCTTTCGCTCTTCCAAAGAGCTGCCCGCAGCAGTTTGCTCCAGTGCGATGCTAAAACCTTTGAG